GAAATAATCACACGTAGACACTTGTGCCAGTAAGAATTATTTTACATTGTGTTTTGAAATTAGGAAATTGACAATAAATTTTGTGGTTTATTGAACACCTTCCTGAGTAATACACCAATCCAAGAGGCAAACAGTCCTGACCCCTGCTGGCCTGACCTTCTTCATTTACCTGGGGGTGGGGAGGGCCCCCACAAGGATAATTCGGGAGCTGGAAGACCAAGGCACAGAGGCGATAAAGAGGGGTAAGTGGGAGGAGAAATAGAGAGGAACATGGAGGAAGCAACAGAGGGTGCAAGAAGCTGGTAAGAGATGAAGCCTGCACTGACATCCCTCTCTGCTCTGTACTGAAGTCTAATGTGTCTCGAATATATTTTCCCCATGTGTTTCTTAATTGGATCTAAATTTGTTCTAATTTGAGGAAATGATGTTCTTTCACAGATACAGTATCAAAGACTATCAAAAATAAAGAAATAACACATAGGGCGATTTCCTTTCCTGTTGTTGTAGTTTGAAATAACTATCTCAGCAAAAGACAAATTAAAATCTGAAAGATTTATTTTTTAATTTTTAATTCAGAGCAACAGTTGCATTTATTTTTTCTATGTGATAAGGCACTAAAATATGCCTTTAGCATTAGCTATTCATTTTCCACAATGAATTATCATCTGAATTATCATTGGATATGAACAAATTGATTTAGACTATAATGCAGAAATACGTTACTAACTGTCCAAACACTTGACAGCTTATGTTACCACAATGTTAATTAGACAACAAAAAACAAGAAAATTCATAGGATTCTTGATAAATCTACAGGGACAAAGCAGACCATGTGGAAAACTTCTAGAGACCACCATATCTTACCAAATGCTAGGAGAGAGAGGAAGGATTAAAAGCTACTTTTCAGTGGTCCTTTCAGGTAACATGCTTTATCAGTGCAAGAGTCCCAGGAATTTTTCTATAGCCATTTCGCTAAATGAATCTCAGAAGTGAGTAGGAAAGAAGTGAATGCAAATATGAAATGGGTCATAATTATTGTACTGCTCTGTTTCCTTGCTAGAATAATCAGTAGCTTCCAAATCATTTAGGTTAAAAATGCCAGCACAAGTCAAAGCCTTCGTATTGTGATGAAGGTGTGCATTCTCGCTCTCCTCACATGTCAATCCTACTGAAGTTTTCCATTGATCCAAATTCCTTATATCCCTGGGCCCAATATAACGAACTGGCTACGTCGGCTTAATTTTACCTACACATCAGAGTTAATCTTTGAAGATTCAGGACTTAAAGACTTAAGCTTATTTGTTTGTATTCCATTATTTTAGCTCCTCCTCCTTTATTCTCTTTCACTTGCTTTTTTTTTAACAAGTTAAATCTTTTTTAACAAGTTATTCTCTTTCACTTGTTTCTTTGTCACATGCTGGAACAAAGAAAGAAAGAAGGGGTGAAAGTAAATTTTAGTTAATTACATTATTCACATTTCAGCACTGCTAAGAACAAAACATGTAGCAGATGGCTTTAATTGTTTTAAAATATCTTATTTTGGTTTATTATATAGTTTAGAGGGAATGCAAAATTCTTAAATCCATGAAATTAATTATAAGTTTATCTTATTTTTTTTCACATTTTCGTAAATGGCTGAGATGACAGCATTTCCCTTTTATATAAATTTCGAACAAATTACATAAAAGACATTTAATATATTAGTCATTGATACTATTCTCTATATTTACATTAATATAAATTTTCTTCAGAGATTTTTCAGTGATCATCAAAATAAATCATTAGCGACAATAAGAGAAGCCACATTTATAATTACTGAATATATTTAAATGTCTTCGGCCTTTTATTGCATATCTGGGAAAGATGTCCCATTAACACATAAATATATATATATATTTATATTAACACATAAATATATATATTTATATTAACACATAAATATATATATTTATATTAACACATAAATATATATGTTTATATTAACACATAAATATATTTTTTTTTCTTTTTTTTTTTTTTGAGACCAAGTCTCACTCTATTGCCAGGCTGGAGTGCAGTGGTGCGATCACAGCTCACTACAACCTCCGCCTCCCGGGTTCAAGCAATTCTCCTGCCTCAGCCTCCCAAGTAACTGGGACTACAGGTGTGCACCACCACACCCAGCAAATTTTTGTATGAGACAGGGTTTCATTATGTTGGCCAGGATGGTCTCCATCTCTTGACCTTGTGATCCATTTGCCTCGGCCTCCCAAAGTGCTGGGATTATAGTCGTGAGCCACCCTGCCTGACCAACACATAAATATTTCTAGTCTTAGAAGAAAAGTCAAGAAAAATTTCACTTAGCCTTCCTATTTCAAGCATAAATAGAAAAAGAATATTAATCAGTCAGACATGGTAGTATTCCAAACATACCTATAATAATATCTGCTATGATGGTTATTAAAATTTTAATGTGAATCAGGGAAAAGAAAGATAACATGTTTATTGGGTTTATTTAATTTTGGTAGAGCTTTTGTAGGTTATATTTTTAAGAAACATGATATTTAGAATTTTTACATCTGAGTTTTGTATAGAGATATTTTTAGGCCTCATATGACTTAAGCAACAATTTGGCTAGTGTTGCAAAAAAGAAAATATTTTCCTTAAACGGGAGATGTTTTCAAATGTGTATGGCACAGTTGAAGGATTTCAGGCTTTGTTGTGGTCTTTGTGACCTCATTCTTATTTTAACACAAATAGGCTATGTGCATAGTTGTTTTGAAAACCTCTCAGAAATATTGTAGCAGATAAAAATAAAATAAATGTTTTTCTGATAAGATAGTCCATTTTTGATACCAATTCCTTATCAAAAAAATACATGTCTATTCTTAGTATACAAAATATAAACCCTCCATTCCATCAAAATTCTCCAATTTTACTGTCATAAGCTAAATGATTCAAATGTTATCTCCATTCTCCCTATTCCCTTCTGTCAGACAAAGTAAAAGTGAGGTAATTGTGAAAATGTGTTTAAAATGAAAGCATTCCATCAGGTTGGAAAAAAATGATTTAGGTAACATTTAAATAAAATTCCCTTTTTAGCTCTCGAGACACCATAGTAAAAGAATGCTCTGTAAAATGAAAGTTTTTATTTAGTGAAAGCAGCTGAGCTAATTGGCACACTTTGGCAAAGATGACTGTATTTAAAAGAGAAAGTGCTGCCTTTGGTTTGTCAGGTAGTGACAGAGTTACTGCAGAAGATTCTATTCTTCATGAGAGAAAATTAATTCCTGTAATCAAATACTGTGGATTACAGTCTTTGTCTCCTTCCACCTTGGCCACAGAAGCAACTCCAAAGCTTTTTATTAAGCCGCACTCCATGGGCTTTTGTAAAACAAGCAAGGACATATTCAGCATAAAAAAATTTCACCTGCTACGTTTTGTAGCACCAGAACATAGCATATTGCTAATTTGAGACTGAGAGCTACTACCTTGGAAATGGCTATATTTGTTAAGACTTTATTTGGAGAAGGAAAGGAAAATCACAGAAACACACACACACACACATACACATTTAGGCAAAAGAAATCTTGGTGATATTTGAAAATGGAATTACAGAGCCGTATAGAGCCATATGTTTAGTAAAATGATTCCCAGTAATTAACAAGAACTTTTGCAGAAATATTAAAACTAATTACTAAATGATGTTTAGTAGTAGTGAAATAAAAGCATAATTTTAGTCTTCTTAAGTTTTCAGTTCTTACATACACACGAACACACACTCATACACATACATCCTATCTAATATATATGCAATTGAGATTATTTAAGTTCATTATGCATAATTGGCAAAGAATCGTGTTTTGAAAGATGTAGCATTTTTAAAACATTACATCTGAAAAGTAATATTTTTATGTAGGACAAGTGAGAGGATAGAATTCAGGAAAAAGCAGAAAACACAATTCACAAGGAAAAAATGACCTACAGTCAGAGTAGGATAGAATCTTCTTCTCTCTCTACAGTTTCTATCCTTTAATATCAAAAAAGTTTATTATATATAGAGGAAAAGAGCTGCTCCTTCTCCTCCTATCTACCAATTAAATCTCAGGTCCATTCTTCCCCATCGATCAATTTCAGTGTCTGACCAAGCCTTCAAGAAGATATAGGCACCCCCAAATCCATTGTTCTCATCCAAGAAAGAACCTTACTTATACTTTGGGAAGACTGAAGAAGGGTTTTGTCAGTTGAATAAAACTAACCAGTCTTCTATTATTATCTATTAGGTAGTTCTGAGTTTTGACTAAAAAATCAATCTAGACTGTATTTAAAACTGAGAAAGAATATTTTATTACTTTCTTCTCCAAAGTTTAGCTTGGGAGCTCCCCAATCAATTAATAAAATACACACATACTTATGTAAACAAGTAAATCTCCAACAAAATGGAAATCAGTCTATTTTCATTTATAAAAATGTAACTAAAGTTATACTTTAAAAAGCAGACAGTTAAAATGTGTGAATTATCTTATTGTTCAATACTGTATTCTTTAAAATACAAGGGAATATGATTTCTAAAGTAGTCCTAAATTTAGTTTTCCTGATTCAGTCTAGTTAGACCTATGTTCTAGAGCAACACCAATTTGATTCTTATGATTCCCTCTAGTATTATAGGGTAGGGCTGTTCTGCTTTTCTTTATGTTGGGTTTGTGGTTTTTCCACTTAACCCACCAACATGGCCCTTTAGAGCTAATTGGGGTTTATTTAGGGCAATGCTTACAGAACTCTGTAAACAAAATTGATTTGTGAAAAAGAAGACATAGCAACAAATCTCTCGCAGAGAACTTTGAATCATAGTCCCTAGTTTTTAGTACCCATGAGGCAGAGGGATGGCTACAGGTATCAACAGGATACCTTTCCTAACGCATAGGTGCTGTTAGAAATAGATAATAAATGTGAATGTAGCTCTCTGGTATTCAGTGAACTCAATGATCACTTTGTGTTTGTTCTCATCCTCTTTTCTATAGCCAACCCAACCCGAGCAGGCGGCAGAGAGCCGTACCCAGGCTCAGCAGAAGTGATCCGGGAGTCCAGCAGCACCACGGGTATGGTCGTTGGGATAGTAGCTGCTGCCGCCCTGTGCATCCTTATCCTCCTCTATGCCATGTACAAGTACAGAAACCGGGATGAAGGCTCATACCATGTGGACGAGAGTCGAAACTACATCAGTAACTCAGCGCAGTCCAATGGGGCTGTCGTAAAGGAGAAACAACCCAGCAGTGCGAAAAGCGCCAACAAAAATAAGAAAAACAAGGATAAAGAGTATTATGTCTGATCCCAAGATCTTAAATGGACACTTGTATAGAAATAGTCTTCATTTTATCTGAGACATAATATAAACTTATTTACTTTCCTTTTTATGAAGCACATACAAAAGAAGACAGGGAATGCAATCAGGAAGGAAAGACTTTTTAAAAAATAAAAACAAGTATCTCATGCTCTTGTTTCTCAAAAAAGAAAAACAAAAAACAAAAAGTAGGGGCCAATAAATTCCCTAACATCCACAGTGTTTTCATTTACTCTGCTTGTCTTTATGTTGCTGGAACATTTCTAAAAGACAGTGATGACCGCACGCATTCATAAAGCAAAGGAGTATTACAGCATCAAGGCACAACACAGAAACCAACACAAAGCATAACACAAAAAAGAAGCTACCTATGATCCTGGATTTAGCCAAAGTGCTAGCGCTTTCCTGAGAAGTCAGTTAGTCCAATTGCCAGAGAAGACTGTCCTTTTGAGTGACTCAACCTGCAAACCTTTAAGAGTTTGCCGCCTGGTGCAACTGGAGCAGTGGTTGGAACTTGCATTTGAAACAAAGTGCTGGCTTTTTTGAAGACTTGTGTAGGAACACATTCAAAAAGCCCCTTTCTGGTTGTGAGAGAGGAAAAAAAGTATGGAGGCCTTATTTTCAAAAATGTGAAATATAAGGCACATTTTCACACAAAATTTCAAAACAAAAACAAGAGGGCATAGATGCAATCATTGGGAAATTTTCATGCACGCTTATTATGTTATTACATATGTTTATATAAAATCCATCTCTGTGTGCTTTCTGGACTGTGATAAGTGACGTTTTATAGCCTGTTGTATAGAAAATGCAAAATATATCTCTGCTCTTCAGCCATTTTTGGTAAATTCAATGTTATAAGTGTTGCTAAGTATAGGGAGTTTTATGACATCAGAGCAACAATTATTTCATTTGGTTTTTTTTTTCTTTGCCACCATTATAAATTGCCACAATTACTTACTTTTATTTTTTAAAGAAATTACAGTGTAGTGTTTATTCTAAGGAAGATATGTATGAATGTATATAAAAAGACTCAGCTACTTTTTTTCTTATATGTACAGCCTTCATTCTGTTGCAATTGAGTTTTAGTACTTGTATGAAAGGTGTGAATTAGAAAGTCAAATATATACATATGTATCTTATAATCTTTTCTCCCTGAAATACATTCCCACATACATTCACTATTTTCACACACACACACACACACACACACGAATCCACAGCAATCCATCAGATGTACTAGAAGATCCAAACGTGCATACAGTAGCAAATATTTATTGACATATTGAAAAGCAGGAAGGAAGAGGGTTGTGCCAAGGTATTGACGACAAATGGGGTGATTTGCTTCATTGAGATCTTGCTCCCAGGTAACCCCAAGAAGATTTTAGTCCCTAATGAAATGAACCTTTCCTTATCAAATAGAATATCACTGATATACTGCTGCATGAATAAGAACCATTATGTGGGCAGGTTATGGAAGCAAAATTGATTAATCTACACCTTAACTCTGGCTGCTGCAATTGAAAACTTTCTTTCTAGTAAAGTAATATATATATTCTCTGAATCTGATGTGCATGATGAACATTTCTGGAAAGTAAACATTTTCTCAACTAAGAAAGTATTTTTCAGTAATTTTTTATTCTGTATTACCCATTTAAGAAAATCATTCTCTGTTAATTATTGACTATGTTTTAACTTTTCTGGTTTTACATATATATCATTAAATATAGTTTTAGTTTAACACATTAAGTAGTAGAAAAGTATAGAGTATACACTTGTTTTTGCATATTATTCACTGATGTTCACAGCAATAAATTATTAATATGAGAAGGTAGTGCAAAAGAAATGCATTATTAGATTGCAAGTTGATGCTTCAGTAAAAATTGGTTGCATTACTTGAATACCTTCTAAAAGAGCGATAATAAATTTTGTAGAAGAGAAGAATACCTTTACAATTAGCTTTAATCAGCAAAGGCAAAAAATGCAAAACATCTTTTGTGATACTTTAGTTGATGAAAAAAAGCCAAGAAGTGGCCTGGATTTCAGATATACAGCACCTTAGAAATATGTATAATTCATAGCAAATCACCACTATCTATGGATGCCAAGTAATTGTTGTGAAAGAATCTTAATGGCTTTTTATGACCCAGAAAGTAGAAGGTATACAATGAAAATTTAATATCCATTACTTCTTTTCTAGATTTTCTTTTTTTTTTAATTTGCCACATTAAAGAATTCATGAGTCTTTTCTTTTCCCCTGTCTCATTCAGTCTTACTCAGGGAAAGCCAGTAAAATAAGAAGGGAAGTGTAAAACTACTAATTTACAGCTTGAAGGTTTTTTGTTTTGTTTTGTTTTGTTTTGTTTTTAAGGTTGCTTTTCTATTTTATCTATTAAGCTTGAACCAGTTTCCATCTGGATAGATTCTAAAATATAATAGAAAATAAATTGAATAATGGTAATTTTAAGCAGTATATCTATGAAATGTGTTGTTTGGGATTGATTTCAATGTTTCTCCCCAGCATAAATTCTAAAGTTACATGCAATGATATAGTTTATTATCAGTAAGATTATTTCTAATATTATTGGCTTACACAAACTCACTCTAGCAAAACTTATTTTTTTCCTGAATGGAAAAAGAAAAGAGGGGAACAGAGTTAGAAGGAGAAAATGACTTGAATCCCAAGTATCTTCATACCAAACATATCAGGGTTCCATGCATAGTTTGCAGTTGATTGAGGATTTCACACTACTTGGCATAAATTTCATTACATCTCTAGACTGTAACTTTTCTGATTGATTATGCTTCTTTTTTATCCATGTAATGTATTGCCTTTTTTAAAACAACAAATACTACAATAATGTGTGAAGTGGTCAATCCCTAAAACATCAAAGACAGGCCACAAAACCCTACCCTTCTAGTGCTTTGTGTGATTGGGTATCTAAGGGGTTTTCTTCTTCTTTTTTTATTTGTTTGTTTTTCTGTTGCAAGGCCAATTTATCCATTATTGGAAATGCTAAGCAAGTGGAACTTACTGTTTTGTTAATAAAATATTTCTTAATACAACTGTGGATTTATTGATTTAAAAAAGTATATGCGGCACCATTTCATGATGTGGTGAAAGTGGGAAAGTGGTGAAAGTGGGACAGTAAGGAAGACTGCATCTGAAGGGAAGACCCATCCTTATATTACAGAGGAAGAATGTTGACTCTCTTTTGTCTGAATTTTACTAGTCATTAAACACCTCTATATTCATACAATTAAAGGCAGAGCCACTCAATGTACTTTTGTATACATTTGTTCATCTTGATATGCCAGAAACCATAAACTGATACAGTAATTATTGAAAACAACATTAAAATACTAATTTCATAAATATGCTTTTTCTCTATAAAAAACAATGGAATCCAAGTTAAGTAAACCTGTGATTAAATTCCAACACTATCACATACTAGTTACCATTTGCCTAATTTCTTTGACTCTCACATGTTATTTGAAAAAAAAAATGTATAAAAGAACATAGTGTTTGTTTCCATAGAACTATATTTATTTCTCACAAAATAAATTGGCTTTTTAGAAATCAGATGATTCATCAGAGTAAGTTTTAGTTCAACAGTTGGTAACTGTTTTAAAACCCTGGCACTTGAAAATGATTTTCTGATGAAAATGCGTAAGTTTAGTCTTTTTTTCTTCAACAGTAAAAAGTCTGAACATGAATGCTTAATTCATTTTGAACCTGCAGTGTCTAGATATATTTGTTACTTCTTTATTACTATTAATGCGTGATTGTAAAAATGTAACAGAAACAATCCACATTTTATTAATGTCTAAATTAAAGGATATATAACTTAGTTTCCCTTAAAAATACGTAAGCACTCCAAAGGCGGTTGCTATATAAAACCTATTATTAGTAATCAGGCCAAGTATTTTGGGTCTTAACCTATAGAGGGCATAGATGTCCAGGGCCCAGTGATTAGGCCTCAAGGGTTGCTAACTTACATATATGTAATAATAGAGATATATGTAAAATATATATGTATATATAATAGATAGATATTAACATTATATATAATTGCTATTACATATAAATATATAAATATATATTGAATTTAAATATTTTAATATAAGTATTAAGTATTTAACATAAAATTATATATAATATATATTTATACATATAATAACTTGGCAGGTATATGTGAATGAGCATTTTCCCAGTAAAAGTATTCATTAGGTTCATCAAATCTTTAAACGGTTTCAAAATTCCCCAAAAGATTGAGAATCACTAAAACAGACATTAGATATAAACAAAACTTTTTAAGAAATAATACTGAAGATGAATGGTTCAGCGAATATTAAGAAGACCAAGAAATACAAAAAGTAGTCAGGAGTGGTGGTGGGCATCTGTGTTCCCAGCTACTCAGGAGACTGAGACAGGAGAATTCCTTGAACCTGGGAAGTGGAAGTTGCGTAAGCCAAGATTGCACCACTGCACTCCAGCCTGGGTGACAGAGCGAGACTCCATCTCAAAAAAAAAAAAAAAAAAATCGTCAAGGAGATGGCATGAACTAACTTTAACCATTACAGTATCCTTCTCTATAACTAAATGTCCAGTTATACAATTTTTACTGAAATTAATCTTGCTTCATTTTTACAAGTTCAGTCTTCAATTATTTATTGAGGTCTAGTATATGAAAATCACCCCATTCATCCCACATATCTCTACTCTTCTGAACAACTTAATATTAACTTAAGGGCAAACTTCTCCAAGAATTGGAATCTTTGATTTAGCACCTTGAAGACAATCAGTGAATATCTAATATGCAGCAAGGTCTTACCCAACAATGCATCCATCTTTAAGCATGTAGAGGTCAACAGTATTTGAGAGTGGCAGCTAGACTATGAAAAATACCTTACTGACCCCTAAATATGTGGTCACCTTTAAATAAAAAGAAGAAAATAACTTCTTGAGAAACATAGAATATGGAACCATAGCATTCATTCAGTAAAAATAACAATCAATAAAAGAAATATTGAATGCTTCTGGTCTGTGAAATTTCAGATGATTACTGATTAGAACAGTGTGCTTTCAGTTAGGTAAAATAATCTTAATAATGATCTGTCACAAGCACCAACAGTTCAAGCAAAGTGGATCTAAATACTAGATTTGAAAATTACTAGCTGTGGGACTTCGTGCAATCACTCAATCATACTAAGTTTATTCAGCCATAAAAGAGAATGATAAGGAGACAACCTATAGGATTGTGAGGAATAAAAAACATAATGCACTTAAATGCTTTGCATAAAGTTCAATATTTTACTAAAAGATAAAAGTTAAAGTTCACCTGTGTAATAGGGTAAAATTAAAGTGTGCTAGGTAGCTACTAAGAGAGTAGAATTATCATAAATTCGTAGATTTAAAATTAAGACTATTGTAGGTGTTTATGTTAATATTTTTCCCAACATAGGAGACACTTTTACAATGTCCCAGACAAAGCATTGCATAGCCACGGCTAGAGGAAGGGTAGCTCCTTTGCAAGGCAATCGATTTCATGATAGGATAATTTTGGTTCCTTATATCTAGTTTTCTGTAACCTTCACTTATTGATTCTAATTCTCTTTGTGCAAAATAGAATATACCCTTTTTCCCCATGACAGCCTTTCCAATACCATCACCCTCCCCTAAACAATGTCTGGATTTTCTCTTCTCCAATCTTAATATTCTGGTTTATCATGGCCATTATTCAAATTATATAGATTCTAAGCACCTCATAATCTTAGTAACCTTTTCCTGAACCTCTGTTCACAAAATCTGACACCAAACAACCATAGCATTTGGTGATCAGCCAAAAATACAATGGATTTTTCACCTTCCTTGATATGAACTTTTTCTCCCAGATAATGACACTTAAGATTTCATGATTTTTCAAAAGCATATATTGCTTATTTGAATTACATTGAATTTATGATCAACAAAATTATCAGATTTTTTCCAGGTAAAGTCTCCTTTAACTTGTACCTAGACAATTATTACTCGAATATAAATGTAGTATTTTACATTTAACCATGAGAAATTTCATTGTATTGAAGACTGATCAGTTCAGATAAATTTATATTTTGACTTTCTCATATGATGTCCTAATATTCACCATTGGCAAATTTTGCATACACTTACATGAAAATAAGTTCATTAGGGAAAGAATTCTGAGGGAGGCCTCAAAAAGACCTCCCTGCAAACGGTGCTTTTCAAACAGGGGCACTTTTGCCCAGGAGACATTTGGTAATGTCAGGACCCAGTTTTGGTTGTCATGTTTTGGGTGGAGAGAACTATTGGTGTCCATAGGGTAGAGATTAGGTATGCTACTAAACAACCGAAAGTGCACAGGACACCCCTCCCTTCATCCCAGCAGACAACTGTCCTGTCCAAATGCCAGTAGTGCCAAGTTTGATAGGCATAACACATATCCACTGGCAGGGATAATATATATCAAGTTGCTAATAATCTTTGAGTGGGAATTTTCCATCTACCAAAAAAAATCATAAGAAACTCAGTTGCCTTGCAATGAGGATATGAAATGATTTCCTCCTAATTTGTCAGTGAATCAATTTGAAAAGGAAATAGCTTAATTTGTAATGCTGTTTATTAATTATTACCACTTATTTTAAAAAGTGGCCAGAAAGTATATATTTTTTTAAATAACTCTTATTTTGGGCCAGGTGCGGTGGCTCACGCCTGTAATCCCAGCACTTTGGGAGGCCAAGGCGGGCGGATCATGAGGTCAGGAAATGGAGACCATCCTGGCTAACACAGTGAAACCTCCTCTCTACTAAAAAATACAAAAAAAATTAGCTGGGCGTGGTGGCGGGTGCCTGTAGTCCCAGCTACTCGGGAGGCTGAGCAGGAGAATGGCGTGAACCCGGGAGGCGGAGCTTGCAGTGAGCGGAGATCGCGCCACCGCACTCCAGCCTGGGCGACAGAGTTAGACTCTGTCTCAAAAGACAAACAAACAAACAAAAAACCTCTTATTTTGATTTCAAGCTCATCACTGTAGAATTAAATACATCTTTTGAGTATTACAATTGAAATCAGGGCAAAACTTGCTTCCTTCATTCTTCTAGTATCACATCTTCCTAAAAAAAATATGTCAAAACGACCAGTATAATTTTTAGTTCACATTCAAGTTGTTTGGAATGCAATTGACCTTGACATGGACAGATAAACTTTTGAAGAAGGAATTTAGAAATCATTTATTCTTTGCCTACCTTGAACGTCAGTTCTCACTGGTACCCTAGTTTTGGGGATCTGATTTCAAGGGGCTTAGGCATCAGTGTGTGATTTCTGGCTGCTTAGCCCATTCCAGAATCTCTGTTATTTTGTACCATTTTCAGAGGGCCCTGATAAGTGACTTTTACTTCCATTATCCAATAAGGTTTCTCAATATCAGAATGCTCTTCAGAGAAGTGATTGTGGAGGAGCGCTAGATGGGAGTAAGGAAATAAGTCAGGGAAATTTAAAAAGCCAATTAACATTGATTATATAATAGGTTACTGCCATGAGGAATACTACTTGGGAATTCCAGGAGATAGCATAAAGCATGCTTCAGAATTACTCCACCTGAAAGCCAAGAAATGGAACTATGTATCCATTGATTTCTATCTTAGGTAAAGGGCTATTAGGAGGGCAAGAAGGTAAGGATGATAATTAACTTCAAAGTACTTTGTGTGGCATTTCCTACTGACTGGGTAAGCTTTGTGGTTGAAGGCCCTCAAGTAAAAAGCTGCAAGTGTTTCCAGCTGGAAGCCACTGGGTTATTTTGCTCCAGAATGATGCATGCTAGGGTATGTGAGTGAGTCACCCGTAACATTGTTACAGTTTGTGTGTGTGTGTGTGTGTGTGACTTTGTACTTACACTAAATACATTCAGTTCTCTGTCTAGTAAAATTGGTTCAACGCTCCAGAACAATGTGATTCCATTCTCAGAGAAGTCTCTTTCTCTCCTCTGTGGCCCTGTTATGATTTCCTTAAAGCCACTAGGGCTAGTTTCTGTTCGTCTTGCAATCATTTACAG